ACATACTGTTATCTTCAGTGAAGTTGCTCAGTCCACCAGACATAAGAATGTAAGATTGATCAAACAATCAAAGACAATAACAAGTTATAAAAAAAAAACTTTGGAAATGATGCAGAGCTTGAGCTTCACCATACAAAATAGTAAGAGTTCAGCAGTGGCTCTTATTCTGCATATTGTTGTTTTCAGATCAGTCACTCTGATTACCAGATTCAAGTGTGCAAAATTGGTCAAGAAAAAAGAAAATTTTAGGCATTGACTGTTCTTTCAATAAGCCACAGACATTAGCAATACACCTATCCCAGCTATCCTTTTATATACACACAAATTTTGTTTTTCATTTTAAAGAGAAAAGAAAAACCAAAATAACAAAAACAAATACATAAACAAAACAGCACAGAGAACAATAAAAATGATACAGAATTTCAAAACGTGGTAGGATATTAACAATGGTTATATTACATAATGTTATCTTCAAAATGGTTGCACATATAACCAAATATAGGCATGCAAAATTGATCAATTACACATTAACAGTTCCTCTCAACAAACCAACAGATATTAGTAGTACAATTATCCTAGCTATCCTGTGTATACATACACATATATTTTTCCTCTTCCTTCTTTCTTTTTTCTCTCCCCTCCTTCATCCCAGTTGCTCCTTCCTATTTGAGCAGTCTTTTCCCTTTCACAGTATCTGTTGTATCTTTCAGATTTTTATTTACTCTTTCAGGTTCTTATAGTAGGGAGGAAATATGATGTTTACACATGTAAAGCTGATTTATTTCACTTATGAGTATGGTCTCTAGTTGCATCCATTTACCTATAAAAGCCTCTAGTTTATTTTTCTTTATAGCTGAGTAATACTCCATTGTATAAAAATACCACATCTTTTTTATTGATTCCTCAGTTGATGAGCATTTGGGTTGTTTCCAAGCTATTACAAATTGCACTGCTATAAACATGGGTGTACATATATTGCTGTGGTATGATGTGTTCAGTTCTTCTGGAAAAATACCCACGAGGGGAACAGCTGGGTGGAATGGGACCTCTAATCCTAGTTTACTGAGGAATCTCCAGACTGATTTCCACAGTGGTTGCACCAGTCTACACTGCTACCAACAGTGGAGAAGGGTTCCTTTTTCCCCACAGCTCCTCCAGCATTTGTTATTGGTTGAATTCTTGATGATAGCCATTCTTTCTGGGGTGAGATGGACTCTTGGGGTTGTTTTAATTTGCATTTCTTGAATGACTGACACTGAACATTTTTTCTTGTATTTATTTGCCATGAGTATTTCTTCATGTGAGAAGTGTGTATTCATCTCAGATGCCCATTTTTGTATTGGGTCTTTGAATTTTGGAGGCCTGATTTTTTTTTTTTAATTCTTATATGTTCTAGACAGGAGTCCTTTGTCTGAGGGACAGTTGGCTAAAATTTTTTCCCAATTTGCTGGGTTTTTTTCACCCTGTTGGTGATTTCTTTTGATGTGCAAAAACTTTCAATAAGATGAGGTCCCAGTTGTTCTTTATTTCCTGTGCAGTTGGTTTTTTGTTCATGAACTCTCTACCCCTATGTCTTCAAGACTTCCACCTCCTTTCTCTTCTAATAGATCTAGTGTTTCTGTTTTAATATTTAGATCTTTAAGCCATTTTGACTTTAGTTTGGTGCATGGTGATAGGCTTGGGTCATTTTAGTCTTCAGCATGTGGAAAGCCAGCTTTCCCAGCACCATTTATTAAAGAGGCTATCTTTCTTCCAGTGAACATGTTTGGCCCCTTTGTCAAAGATAAGGTGGCTGAGTGTCTTTGTGGTTGTGTCTGCATCTTCTAATCTGTTCCACTGATCTTCAGGTCTGTTTTTTTGCTAATACCATGCTGATTTTATCACAGTAGCTTTGTAGTATAATTTCAAATCGAGGATTGTGATACCTCCTGCCTTGCCTTTGTTTCCCAGGATTGCTTTTGCTATTCATATCCAGCTTTTTTTAATGTGTGTTATGTGTGTTTAAATTTCTTTTTACCCCTTGTAGTTAACCTCTATTTTAATTTTTGTTTAATATTTTAATTAATCATTGTATACAGCTTATTTCTTTTTATGGCTGCATAGTTGTAAAAGAGGAAAAACCAGAGGCTCTCATTACTTCACCTCTGGTGACCAATATGTTGAGGGGGGTGGATTTCTTCTCCTCAGCACCATTTCTGCAAGTATCTCCACATGTTCAACTCTCTGGAAGTTCTTCTGACCCAGTCCTTCTGGGTTTTTATGGAGGCTTCATTACATAGACATAAATGATCAAATTATTAGCTCTGGTGATCAACTCAACCTTCAGCTCCCCTCCCTCCCTAGAGGTTGGGATGGGACTGAACCCTTCCCATCCTTTAATCACCTAGCAGCCAGCCCCTCCCCTGAGACCATACAGGAGCTCCTAGCTGCAGTCACCTCATTAGCATACCAAGGGTTAGCACTTTGAGATTGAGAGATTTTAGGAGCAGTCTGCCCAAAAACCTGTTGGAGATAAAGATATATCTTATTACAACTCAAAGATACATAGTGTTCCACAGCAAGGACATAAATATTCTTCTGCAGACATTTAGATCATTTCCAATTTCATGTTATTTCCAGTAACATTCTAGTGTACATCCTTGTGTTGATACGTCTCTCTTTGTACATGTCTCTATGTAAACAGATTCCTATAATTTCTAAGTCAGGGGATATGTCTATTTAAAAACTGCTGAAAACCTGATGATCTTTTAAATTTTGCTACTATAGATGAAAATATAGTATCATTTTAATTTTGTTTTCTTTTTACTAGCAGCTTTGCTGGTTTAGGTCTAGCATCTTTTGTGGTAACTGGCTATATAGATTTCTTTTGTAACTTGTCTGTAGCCTTTTCACTGCTCACTTGTACTGCTAGAGTAATCATTTATAGCAGCCCCTTTGTTATACATATTTATGTATTGCATTTTCGTTATCCTAGGCTACCATTATTTTGTTCCCACACAGTAGTAGCTCATGTCATACAAAAGCCTTAAATTTGGATCTGAGCAATTTATGTTATTCCTTTATGGTTTCTGGGGTCTTAATTTTGCCTAAATAGGCCCGTCCTATCTCAAAATTGCTGGGTTTTTTTCCAGTACTGAAGGTTGAACTCAACCTCATGTCTGCAGGGTAAGGACTTTATACTAGTCTGCATCTCCAGCCCATTTTTATTTTGAGACAGGGTCTCACTCAGTGCCCCAGGCTAGTCTTGAATTTGTGAATCCTTCTGCCTCAGCCTCCCAGCTGTCTTGGATTGCCACCAGCTAATGTGGGTCCTTGATTCAGTGATAATGAAAATTAAAACTAGGGCAACAATGAGTTTAAAAACAAAAACTGGAATGTAAGAGAAAATAACAACTTCAGCTTGAAGAGAAAAACTGAACCGGCCACAGCTCTGAGATCAGACTAGCACATTAACAAAGGAAAGAGGCCAGTTCCTATGAGGTTGCTGAGGTGGGCTAAGAAGGTCTGGTTGATCATTATCTCAAGGCTGGTTCTAAAAAAAGTGGCTCCGGAGATATCCTTGTTGCTTGAGGAAGCAATCTGATTTCCATGAGATGATTGTTTTGTTTAAGGCAGGTGTTAGATTAACATCTGGAGACAACCAGTAAAGGCAGAAAGATTTATTAGTACTTCAAGTACAGCAGCTTTTACACTTCAGCTTGGTGGGAGAGGCAGGGCAGCAGCTTTTAAACCTGGGATGGGGGTGGAGCTTGGGCCTGGACATGACAAGAGATGTTTCTTTTGTTTGTGGTGAGCTGGCTTTAATCTTAGGTTGAGCCAGGCATGGTGTTGTACACCAGTAATCCCAGCACTGGAGGCTGAGGCAGGAGGATCGACGGAGTTTGAGGCCAACCTAGACTACAGTGAGTTCAAGGCCAGCCTGAACTACATAGCGAGACCCTGTCTCAAAAAAAAAAATCCCTCCTGAAAAAGTTAAAATTAGGCCACTAGAGGGAGCTCTAAGACAACAGGGGCGGGTCTCAGTTTTGTGGAGGCTCTACTGAAATCCAAGGTGATGACAGGTTTAGGGCAGTGACTGGAGGCTGAGGTGCCTCAAAGGGGATAAACGTTGGTAGCTAAATGTCTCTGCAATCTCTCACCTTCGTGTCCTCAGTCATAAAGGGGGATGATTTGTTGGTAAATTATGGCTATAAACCTTGTACTTCCAGTCTTTAGACAGATGCCCAAACAGTAAACATGCCTCAGTGCAGAGCTGACTATGGATCTGGCCCAAAGTTTTTAAGGTAATAAAGGAGATACAGAATGAAGGCAGAAATGCCAAGCTTTATCCTGTTTTTAGTCACTACTGGGCATCTCTAGCCCCAAGAAGTCACCTTTTTTTTTTTTTTTTTTTTAGCAAAAGCAGCTTTTAAATCCCTGTCACAGAAGAAAACACAAAGCATACTTTTAATGAGTAACAGGTTAAGGGCCTAAGTTTGTTTGTCCTCTGCCCTGTGATGATTCCCATCAGTTTCCTTAGATAACTTAGTGTTAGAGGTGCTATGGCAGAGGCTCCTGGCTTTCATTACACACCTGGACTTCGGTGTTGCTAAGATTGTTCAGGAGCACAAGGGGCAGTGAAGAACATATACTATACTTTTCATGAGTAACAGGTCCCCAGCCAAGGCCAAAAGTGCACCTGCACTTTGTCCCCGTTGTGGTCTCCATCTCAGGACTACAGGCATGCAGCGCTTGTGTTTTGTTTGTTTGTTTATTTTTGAGACAGGGTCTTGCTATGTAGTTCAGGGTGGCCTTGAACTCACTATGTAGTCCAGGCTGGCCTTGAATTTGCAGCAATCCTCCTGCCTCTGCCTCCCAAGAGCTGGGATTAAGGTGTGTGCCACCATGCCCAGCTTTTTTTTTCTTTTAAATAAGTGTCTCACTGTGTACTCCAGGCTGGCCTTGAACTTGCAGCAGTCCTTCTGCCTCAGCCTCCTGAGTGCTGGGATTAGAAGCGTGTGTCATCATGCCCCAGTTTTGCCTATATATA